GACATAACTAACTATCCAACTTCAGTGCTTTACGAAGATAGTGACTAACATTACACCATTTAGTGAAGCAGTGCTTTACCTACAGTACATATTAAGTCTTGTTGGGCCACCATGATGACTGTTTTGGCAATATTAATCAGCTGGCATGTTTTATTTGTCTTCTGTAGGAAAACATTCAAACAAAAGATCACCTCTGCAGCGGTTTGTTGCACTTGCTTGAGCCTCTGTGCTACTTCTGGAGATATTATCATAAAATGGACTGTCCTCCATACTTGCACCTGGTGCTTATTTGTTAAAACGGATTCCAAAATGCTCTGAGCGTTGTCAGTAGTGCTGAACTGCTCAATTATTTCCCATGTGCAAGCCCGGGGTTTACAGTCACTAATGAGGTAGCACTGTGTGTGTGTGTGAGCTGTTATTCTGGAGTCATATAATTATGCATGTTTCAGGAGGGGCCGTTCATGCATTTTGCATCCGTGCCCACTGTGACTGTGTTCACAGAGTTAGGTTAATCAGGGAAGACAACACAAGTAAGAAAATGAGTGTTGGGATTAATGTAAAATTAACCCCATCCGTAAAACCAGGATCACCACCCTGAGAGCTGTAGATGGGGTCTTGACACTGATGGTAGTGCTGCAGGAGAGGACTGACAACAATGACAAGCAGATATGTTACAAATAAGGTTAAAATGTCCTTGACAGAGAAAACACAGAGCATAACACATTTTATAATAACTCAGAGCTGGAACATTTAAACGATAATTGACTTGAACTTAAGCTACAATCTTCTTTATTTTGTGAAGGTTACATCCATTTTATCATAACTGGATATCCAAATTCAAAGGGGGCTTTATTGGTAAAAGATAAATTAAATGTAGGCTGTTGTTAAGTGAGAACTAACACTAACACCCCCCCTCCTCTCATACAACTAAAAGTTAGAAATGTTTCACTCTGTCACATTGTTTTGGTAGTTTCACAGGAATTTTCTTTATCCTGCTCTTTAGTTAGTCTGAGTGAAAATCAGAGGCTGCTGGGAAGTACCGACAGCTCCCTGCGGTCTGTGAAAACCAAATCGTCCAAGAGTGGTTTCCTGTCAATGGAAACACACTGATTTACTGAAAGCGTATACTCAATTTTCAGCAGTAACAAAATGCAGTGTAATTCCCCTAAACCTGCATGTTTTTACCGTTTAACCAGATAAAGTCAAATTCTAATCAATTAGTGAAAAACTCTGGCAGAATATTGAAAAAAACTGGGACATCTTTATTCACGTGACTGGGGAAAGTATTCACTGTGGTGTGAGCAGGCAGTTGGTAGCCAGATGGTGAAGCCCCTGTGGACAGTAGCAGCTTCTGATCACTAATCCATGTGTTAACCTGTTTGGATGATTGAGTGATGAAGAGTGTGGCTGCTTTGTACAAAATGGACTTCTTGAAACCGTCAAAACACATTACATATAAATGTAAATTTACATTTACATTTATATGTAATGTGTTTCCTGAAGTCTTAGTCGGTACCATGAGGTTGCCAGGCAACCAGTGAAGACTCCAGGAAGTCATGGCCCCCAGCCAAGAAATAGTCCGACACTTAACCACCGTAAATCCATAATTTGTTGCTTTTACTTCTTTTTTTTGGTAAACTGATTAAACCAACAAGATCAAATGTGTTAATTGGTGAGTTTTAGAGCTGCTAGTCGGCTGATTTGGTTCCGTTTCCAGTCTTTATGCTAAATACTGGAGCAACATATATGATCTGTGACGGGAAACCAAGTAAATGTAGTTCCCAGTTTCTGCATCAAATGCTGTAAAACCCAGATTTCAGTTTAAAGGATAATTCCTCATATCTGTGTATGTTATACTTTTGCATTAAGTTAATGCTCTGTCCTGGTGGGTATTGGTTTACAGTTATAAGTAACCAGTTGTCAGATGTCAGTGCTATGGGGTCTGGCTAAGAACAAAACAAGGAGTGATAAGGAGAACTGGACCGCAGCCTGGAGATATAGGGGAATTTAAAGCCTTACACGTGAGGTCCAAATCCAGTTTGAGCAAGCGTGGATAAACAGTGCAGTGGAGGAGGTGGTGGTGGGTGGGAAACATGAATCCTGAAACTCTGCCACCATAATAGGTTTGTCATCCACACATGCAGAGGAAATGGGAAATAGACCTTTAATGGCTCTCAATAAATCATTAGTTAAGGAGTGAGCGCTGTTGATAGTGTGCTGACACAGGCAGGTGGCTCAGAAAGTGTGAGATGGAAATGTGGTTTTCAACAGTGGGTGAAATGGCAACAGAAAAGTGCTGATTCCAGACAAGATCCGGCGTGGCCTGACAGCGCAGCAATAAAAAGACCTCAACTGACTCATGGCTTTGTCTGGAGGTCTCAAGGCTTCGCTTGCACTTGAATTCCACTTGCAAAACCAGTCCCTGCTTTCCAGGGAAAAGTTTACTATTATTATTTTACATCTTACATCTCTGAGCACAGCCACTGACTGAAAAATACAATACAATCAATTGTCTCTATTTGAATCATTTAATTGTGTGCTTTAAGGCCCAGTGTGTGACATTTAGGAGGATCTATTGGCAGAAATGTTAATCTAATATTCATAGGTGTGTTTTTATTAGAGTATAATCACCTGAAAATAAGAATTAAAGGTGTTTTTTGTCACATTAGAATGAGTTTTTATCTACAGAGGGACGAGGAGTCAGCCAAACCAAACACTGGCTGTAGTGTCAAAGTCAAAGTCAAAGGGTTTCAGTAATCTCACCAGTAGATGCCACTAAATCCAACACACTGGTCCTGAGAGCCAGATAAGAAGACTGATGCTATTCTCATGTCTGTATTTGCTAAATATGAAGCTACAGCCAGCGGGTGGTTAGCTTAGTTTAGCATAAAGACGTATGAGACCTTTGTATTAGCACGTAACTCCCCATAAAACCGCAGTTTGTTCGGTTTATTTGTTCTGTTCTTTAAGTAAGATACAATGTTTTAATGAGTTAGCTTCAGATGTTCTGGCAGCCTTAAACTGCCATCAGTCTTTTGTTTTATGACGATTAGTTGATTAATTGATTAGTGGATTCACAATTCTGATCATCGATTCATTTTTTTATCCAACAAAATTTCATTTGCTGGTTCCAGCGTTTTATATCATTGTAAATTAAATGTCTCTGGATATAGACCCTCGTCGCCCCTGGGCTCTTGGCACCTGTGATTTATAGTTCAGCTATTTTCTTGACAAATTGAGTCATTTTAAACACAATAGACAGGTCAATCAATCATTTAAAAAAAATGATAGGCGCAGCTTTAATGTCTGTATCGCAATATCTATACAACAGAGGGCACTGAGTATCCACTAGAGTCAGTTCTTCGATGCTCTTCAGCTCCAAACAACAACACTGTGGAGAGAGCCTGAGGTGAAAAATTCATTTGGTAGCTGTTTTCAGATGCTGGTGCATATCAGTGTGTTTGTGTGTGTGTGTGTGTGTGTGTGTGTGTGTGTGTGTGTGTGTGTGTGTGTGTTTGTGTGTGTGTGTACAACCCACAGGGGCTCCATCTAGGGTGGATGCTGTGTTGCTGTTACAAATGATCCTGTGGGAGACTCACTGACAGCCAAGCTCTGTGCGGTTCCACATGCTTCATCACCACACACACACACACACACACACACACACACACACACACACACATCACGTTGCTGCAGCTGCCCACGGTGAGTGAAGCATGTTGGTCCCAGGGTAAACTCCCACTGCATATCCTGTCAGCTCAGAGAAAGTGTCAATCAGCTTGTCCAAGTCAGCTAAAGAGATGTGTCTACGCCAGCAAAATGTACTTTACTGGCCGTCCTTGTCCTTCACGACTTCTGACAGCAAATGACACTGTTCTCGCCAGGACAATTCCTCTATTCTAGCTTTTAAACTTTATCGATCAAGGGAGGGGATTTTGCTGAGCATGTGTACCTTTTCTCCATCGTTTCTCACCTGGGAACTGCCCCCTACAAACACACTCAGCCTTTGATTCTGGACATTATTTAGAGGTTAACCAAGGTAAAGTTGGGTAGAATTAAAGCGAACTTATTAACTATGAATCCTCTTTCACTTCCCTGGATGTCATAATGTACATACTGAAATTGTTTACATGACACTGAGAGCACTGGGTGTTGATCCATATATATATATATATATATATATATATATATATATATATATATATATATATATATAGAGATACTGAACAGTTCAGGCCTGTGACATCATCCGCCTAATTAATACAACTGAGCAGCTGCTACACCTCGTATTAATCAGCTGTTGTTTCCTAACACCTCTACCTGCTGTGATGGTTGTTGCACGCTTTTGGTTTTACTTTAACAGCAATATGCTTTAACTCCAGGGAATCTCCTGCACGGCCACGTGTCTAAGCTAAAACGAGACAACAGTATCATCATGCTGGAAGCCCTAAATATCTGTAGAAGTGGGTCTTTTTACCCTTTCAGTTCATGTTGAGCAACTTTTGTGTATCGTCTCCCTGCTTTATATGTCCGAGCAGCATTATGTGTATTTCAAAGCAAGCTGGAGAACAAATAACAAATACGACGGGCCATTTAACATGATGAAAACTTTAAGTTAAAACAAAGAAATACCAATAAACTTGGTACTTGAAGGCCACACTGCAGGACACGAGTAGGTCCTGTTATCTGGTAACTTGCTGCCATCTTGTGGTTAAACCTTGTAAAAACAGTAATATCTGAAGTGCAGCTCTGGGTTTTATGGACCAAAAACTCTGCGGTATTAAAATTAAATGAAATAAAAACTAATATTGTCTTATAATAACACAATGTCGCGCAGTTAAAAGTGAAGTTTTGAAGCTCTCCATCCACTAAAACTGTCCGCTGATGTAACTGCTGCGCAAACGACATGCGCAAGAGTAGTTTTGTCCCTCGTCACATCCCGTCGTTGTTTTGCAAACGCGTATGGCAGCGAAGTCGACAGGTAAGAACAACATGTACTTTTCCCAATGTGACGCCATTATCAGATCGATATGTACACGGTTTTTGATGAAGACCATGGAGACGTTCATTGTCCACGCTGTCGTTGTGTTTTGTGCTTGTTGACTACCAACGAGGAAGAAAACAAAATACACAAGAGCTAACGCCAGCAGGCAGCTAGTGAGCTCTTCTGTTTGTGTCGGAGTTTGTTTGTTTGTTGTTTGTGTGTTATTTGTTACCTGTGCAGCAAGTTTAAGGTTATAATGGACTCGACCTTTGGTGGGTTTTTACACGCAGTCGTCGTAATGTTAACTAACGCTGGCTGAAATCTGTTGTTGTTGTTTGAAAAAGAAGAATCGTCTGATGCTCTGATTGTTGTTGTTGTTGTTGTTGTTTTTTAATCCAGCAGGTTGAAGTTAGAAGCAAACAGAGACCAACCACAATGTCCAGCAGTGTGAGTCACCAGCTACAAGCAATTAAACACACACAGAATACAAAATGTCTGAAGTTTCAAATCATTTTAATCCCAGTTGTACTGAGCTGTTAACTCTTGAGGTTTTCTTGAATCACTCAAATGCTGAGCTCTTAAAAGTTAACTTGGGTTACAGTAAATGTGGATGTTTATCAGGGCTGCACAATTCATCGCAGTTAAATAGTCTCTATAAGTTAAATATTCAAACTTATAGAGACTTAATACGACAATAAGACTTATAAAGAAGTGATGTTTGTTTGGTACAGACCCCAACAAATTTCACTTCATCATGATCTTAAGGTTTTTTAATTAAAATTTAAATTCAATTTGTATTTGTGATGTAAATCCAACCTTAATCGTGAATCATATATATCATATTTTTACCATATCATGCAGCCCTAATGTTTCCCAACAACACTGATTCTGTTACGTAAGCAAAACATAATGTTAGTTAATAAATAAAACAAACAGATTGTTCAAATATTGTGTTAACGGACGCCTTTGTTTCTGTGCAGGTGCTGAGTGGTCGGGGGAAGTTGGTCCTCTCTCAGGCCGCTGGCTATCAGGCATTAGCTGCCCTCCGTGTCGGGAGAACCAGAACCTTCTCGGCTGCGAGCTCAGATGAGCCGTACGTAGCCGCATCACCTGCAGACTCAGGTGGGTCACAGTAGTAAATGAATCAGTCACTGTAGTCTCAGGATGTGCGACATGACCAGAATTTCATATCCTGAAAATGACCTCATTGACATATTATTACTCAATAAATATGACGTACTTATTCTTACTTGATTATTTTTCATCTTTTATTTAGAACCTTTGTGCAAATTTTCAATTAAACACGTGACAGAATATTAATGTTTCAGTGTCTCTCAGGGACTTTACTTGGGTCAGCCAGGTATTTTAACACCCAGCGACCCATTTAAGCATTTTGCAGAGAATTACTGAGAGTGGTACGCAGAGCACCCACCAGGTAAAACCTTTGGTCAAAACATAAAGGAGCAAATATCTTTGTCCCCTCCCCTCCAGGTCCTAGGACCGTGTGGCCTGATGAGAACATGGGACCATTCGGACCTCAGGACAAGCGCTTTCAGCTACCGGGTAACGCTGGGTTTGACTGCCACCTGGAGGGCATGGAGGACCAAAAGAAGACTCCAGTCCACAGGACGGTGCCTGATGTACTCACAAACCCGAGCACCTCAGAGAGGCAGCAGTTCATACTGGCCCAGTTTGTTAATGAGTTCCACGTAAGTTTCTGAATAGTTTTTTTTTATTAGCAGTAGGGCTGTAGCTATTACTGAAGACACTGGGGTTATATTGTTTACTAGTCGGGGCTTAACGGGAGCTAATTAAAGCTTCTACATGTAGGCTAACAAAATAATGAATAACAGTTTCACCAATTCTTCCCCAGAATGATGTTCCTGGCAGTGTGCAGAAGGCTTCGAAATGCCATTTACCTCTTTATGTTTTAAAATAGACAGTACATAACGTATAATTGAATTGTTATATGGAGGAATAAAGTATATTATATCTTGACCTTTTTAAAATCCTGCCAACAAGCCTTATAGGCAGACTAGTCAGTTAGTGTAGAGTGGAAGTTCAGTAAACTTAAAAACATTCTCAAACACAGCTATGAACACTGCACGTATCCCAAGTACACTTTTTTAAAGACATTCATATAATCAGTCAGAGTAAATGATTTCAAGGCCTCAAAGCTGCTTTATTTATCTCTCTCTGTGTGTGTGTGTGTGTGTGTGTGTGTGTGTGTGTGTGTGTGTGTGTGTTTGTTAGGAAAAACTGGGTCCTATATCCACAAGAGTCCACAAAGCTGAGAAGTACTTTAATCAGACAGGCACAGACTGCTCCGTATATTCCTGCCCTGAGCTGTTAAAGAAAGGTAAGGGAAGGTTATTTGGCATTAACTCACTTAAAGTAACAATTTTGAAGATCTGTTTCATTTTCTCTCTGGCGATTAGCGGTAATTGTAGCTTTGTTTTTGGACCTCATTTCCCAGACATCCAAACTGTGTCGCCTGTGTGATGTCAGTCAGTTGGTTTTGGTTGTCCGTTACCATCGATCTTTTTTTTGCTTGTTCAGCCATAGTTGTTTACTGACAACGCTAGCAGAGAAATGAAAATCTTTGAGATTACTTTAAGAAAAATCATTTTATAAAGTTGTATGATCTTTAAAACCCCTTTCCATCCTTTAGTAATACAACTGTGTGTGTGTGTGTGTGTGTGTGTGTGTGTGTGTGTGTCAGATCTTGAGCTGTTGTTCCCCTCGGCACCCACCACTTCCATCACAGTTGTGACGGTCACACAGAGGAACAGTCGGTGCGAGGACGCAGCAGAGCAGGACAGAGAGCAGCTGCTTCACAGAGTGAGTCCTGTCAGATTTTGCTGTTGTTGTTGTTCTTCTTCTTGTTTATAAGTTTGGATTTGTCACGTCATGCCGAAACACCTGGTGACTGCGTTTTCTCCTCGCTGCAGTTTGTGAGTGGTGCGAAGGAAATGTGCTTCTCTCTGTGGACCGCAGGCTACTGGGCAGACTTCATCGACCCGACAACAGGAGCAGCTGTAAGTTCTTCTGTGTGTTGTAGTGATCTTCTCGTACTAGAAATGCGTTAACGGTGAATACCAGGGAATTTATAGCCTGATATGTCAGTATCCACTAAGAGAAACTTAACGTAGATCTTCCTATAACCTGAAATCATACAAACCCATAAGGCTCTGTTTCTAGGTTCTTCCTCGTTTTCCACTATGTTTAACAAACCAGAATATTAGAGACGCCTTTGAATTTAATACAGTCCAGTACAAAACCATCACCGTCTTGTTCCCAAACAGTTCTTTGCATCTCCGTCAACTCAAACAACGCTGCGAACAGAGGAGGAGCTGAGACATTTGGGCTTCCACATCGAGGCATCAGGCTCCTGCACCGTTATTCGCCACATCCTGAGAGGAACGCCTTTGTTTGTGGGGACTGTTTTCACCAATGCACCTACTCAAAGCGCTGCTATCGCAAGACTACAAGGACTTACGAAAGTACTCGATGATGAGGAATAGGCTTTTTAATATTATTATTCCACAGAACTAAATCCAAACAGGCCTCTATTTATGGTTTGAAGAAGTTTGGAGATTTGATGTACGGTAGTGTTGGAACATGGTATCAGTGACAGTTTGTCTTACTATAACAAGGACTAGGCTGAGACTCTTAATGTGGACCTGTTTATTGCAGTCGGAAGGGTTCTGACTGCAAACACTTTAGAGATCTTCTGTGTTATGTGATATGAAATGGAAACACTTGACAGGCAGCTGTTAGTTGATTAAAAGATTTCAACAATACCTAATTTAAGACTCTAGCTGAGCAATATAATGTCAACAACCTTTCATACAAACATGTACAGTATTGTTTTTCTGTTGCACAGAATGTAAAGAAATATGCATACTGTTTCAGTTGAAGCACTTCAGTGCTGAGCAAATAAAGTGAGTCTCATCAGACTGCAATGATGTATTTCCTTAGAAATGTTACCCAAATTTACACCAAGGCCTCACTCTTCATATATGGATTTGTCCAGATTAATACAATTGTCAACTCAGTTTTCATATGTGATAAAATATAATATATATTTCCTGTAACAATATTACATTACTGTATCTGATATGTCTTCCCCACCAAAAAGTATAATTTCCACATTTAAATCCTTTAAAAAAAATCTACTTGTTTGACCTCATTAAAGATTTAAAGATTCAAGAATCTGTGAATATGCAAATGTTCATTTCTACAGTTTTCCTGCTGGACACAGATGTTTCTTACTTCACTGTAAAGTCCATTCTCAGTGTGTGTGCACTAGTGGCTCCCCACTTGTATAGGCTGCAGACTGGACCAAAAATTTTTTTGAGTGGCGCAGGAACATTACATTTGAAGAATCTGATCAAATCTACTATATATACTTATATGTATATACAGTATCTTCATTGAAAACCAGGGAACAACTGAATTGAGTCAGTAGATGTATACATTGAGTCAAAGCTGCTCTGCCTACAGGGTGCAATTTTCCTTTCTGTCCAAATCTGTCCAGTAAGACATTTGTGTCATTGAGTATTTTATTTAATCTAACTGCATAAGTGCCTGTAAATTCAGTTTTTATCCAGTAGTCCCAAAGCTGAATAGGGTGTGCAGAAACAGTGATGGTTTTTGTCACCATCTAGTGGTTGATGAGCTTTACTGCAAACAGACTCCTTTACTTTCAACCTGACAAATGTTCTGAAGAAAGTACTCTGAACTAGAGTTTGAATATTTAGTTTTAGATTTATTTATTTTTATTAAAGTTTATATGAAGTAAAATCAAATGCAGATGTGTGGGCAATTTAGAGTTTCCAATTAAGCTGCATGTCTTTGGAATGTGGGAGGAAACCGGAGACACCCGGAGAAAACCCACGTCAACACGGGGAGAACATACAAACTCCACACAGAAAGGGCCGAGGCCGTAAGGCGAACCTTCAACCTTCTTACTGTGAGGCCACATTGAGCCACCGTGCCGCCCTCTCTCTTAAAAAGGATGTGAAAGGAAGTTTTTTAGGTCGTACAGACTTGTTTGACAAAGTAGAGCTGAAGCTCAAAAGCTTTCGCTCTACTTTGAATGTGGGAGAAAAGCCGGAGACACCCGGGGGAAAACCCACGTCAACACAGGGAGAACATGCTAACTCCACACAGAAAGGGCCGAGGCCGCAAAACGAACCTTCAACCTTCTTCCTGTGAGGCCACATTGAGCCACCGTGCTGCCTTCACTCTTAAACTGTGAAAGTTATTTTTTTAGGTCCTTTGACAAAGTATAGCTGAAGTGAGCTTCAGCTCTGCTTTGTCAAATGACTTCAATCTTGCCTGTACATCCTCAAACCCCATCTGACACATCCTTTTTAAGAGTTTGTATTCATCTTGAAAAAACGGCCAGTGATTTTTTCAAGATAAATACAAAATAATAATTAAAAAAAGGGGAAGAAGACTGGCACTGGATACTTACCTGTTCTACTTATCCTTTGATCCACAGCTGATGTAGGAGGTGAACGGCTTCCTCAGAATCCTGGCTGCAGAAGAGAGCATCCTCAGCATAGCAGGGCGCTTCTGCTTCCTCAGTAGCGGTGAAGTTGATCCTTCCTCCGAGTTGCTGACTTCACTGTTAGACAATGAAGTGATGACTGCACAGGCTGGAGTGACTTTGTTTGACCTTCTGAAAAACCTCTTCACTTTGGTGAAAAAGCTGATGTGTTTTTCAGAAGAACTGCCCAGCTGCACTTTTAATGTCCCGACAACAACTTCGTCAAAAGCTGCGTCACCGGACAACATGGCTGCGTGGAGCAACTTTGGAGATCCAAAGTTGCGACAAAGTTCTTTGTAGACAGGGATGTGGATGTTTCCAACAGTCTGTGGGAGAATTGATTTTATTTCTCCCACAGTCCTTGCTCTCAGACGCTCCAACGTCCCATTAAAGTCCACGTCAAATACTGATGTCTTGGTGGAATGAGCAATGTGATCAAGAAGCTTCCCGAGAAGCACAGCGAGAAAGGTCCTATCTCGCTGTAGCAACTCGTCTGCAGAACTGGCAGAACACTTCAGACTCTGATCACCTGAAAGGACTGATCTACGCTGCTCTGATGCAGAGCAGATTTGATCAGCACCCTCCGCACAAAACTCCTCAACATCCGTGACTTTGTTGGGAAAGCAGGCCTGTGCAGTAAACTGCTCAACACTGGACACGTCATCTGGAGAGCAACCCTCTGTGTCAAACTCCTCAATGTCGGACATATCATCTGGATAGCAAACCTCTGTGCTCAACCCCTCAATGTCTGACTCGTCATCTGTACAGCAACTCTTTGTGGTAAACTTTGCAACATCTGCCACCTGGTCTGGACAAGAACCCTTAGAGGAATCACTCTTCAGAGATTCTTCGTCCTCAGGTGACTCAAGATCTGTCAAGATCAAGTGATTCAATATACGGCAGATGAAGTAAACCATATATTTAGTCTGAGATGAACCGGTTGATTCAGACTCAGCAGACTCTGTTGACTTTGTGGGTGAAGGTGACTGTACGATTGCAGCCAACATGTTGTTCACCCTGTGGGTCACTTCTGCTGAGAGAAACTCCAGTAGCAGTTCAGACTCGTGGGATCTCTCCTGTTCGTATCCGAGCACCTCACCGAAACAGAAGTGAAGCAAATCCCCAATGCTGGCTTGGATATCTTCCTCTGTCACATAGCGATAATTACACGTTCTCTGTGAAGTTTCACTAAAAAAGAGAAGACAGTCACACATTAGTCAACTGATCTGCTCTGGGCAGTGGGCAGTGATTTATAGCAGAATCTGCTGGAAAATATTTGATCAATGTGTTGGAAAGTTTGGACTTACCTTGTGATAGAGCTGCTGCTGGCGTTCCTGGCAGCCTCCTGAGCAGTCCAGCTTTCAATCTGAGGTGCCACAGTTTCTGAGACCGAGAGGCTGATTGACTCTATGATCTCGTGGCACATGTCAGATAGAAGAAGGACTGTTTTGATGTGGATTTTGCCATCAGCTATTAACTTCCACTGCCTGGAAGAAAAGATTAAGAATGGGTAAGCAAAACAAACATTTAACCAATGTGTATGTACAGTGTATACAATTAGAATTTCTGCAACTGATTTGATTAATGAATTTTAACTATACTTACTCTTCTGTGATATCATGTACGAATAAATTGAGGATGGATTCAATGACGTCTGATGTGAACAAAGGAACATCCAAATCGCTGCACCTGAGTTCTCCTAGTTCATCCGATGAGATCTAGAAAGAAAAACAATCAATATTCAGCAACAGAAACTAAACACTGGGGTGGGACTGTAAAATAATCTACATGATAGCACTATTAATACTTATGGTACTTTGTGCTGTGCAGAATTAACAAATCACCTTTTAATTCAATCTACAAGATGTCAGAATTTGATGCATTTTAAGAGCTTATGGTCAAAATGAAAGTGTTGTCAAATGTTGCCATTGAAAAGCAAACAGTTAACCATCTGATTTTAACGTACAGCAACCAAACAATTTCTCATACACTAACTACTTTTACTTTTATTATCTCCCCAACAGCTGATCCTACATAACTGGAAGACATCTCTTTTATAAATCTAATGTGTTTCATCAAAAGTTGAACCGACAGGAGGTGAAAACTTTCTCCCTGTAGCCGTCAAGTTCAACTTCTGTGTGTGTGTGTGTGTGTGTGTGTGTGTGTGTGTCAAGGCAAGATTTTCTTACTTTGTAATCCATGTCGAGATCCGGTACGTTCTCCATGGATGTAACTAATCAGTTGTTCTCGTGGTGAAGGTCTGTGTAGATCTGTTCACTGTGATCTCTGGAGCTCAGTGAAATGGACTGTACAACAGAATTCATCCTAAAGATCTAGAATGACACATCAAAGGAACGGAACTCATCAAAGGTATGAACTCATCAAAGGTATGGAACTCATCAAAGGTATGGAACTCATCAAAGGTATGGAACTCCAGAACATTCTATGTTCTATACAAACACACACATACACACAGTACTCAAATGCTTATTCAGCATTATATTGCAGAAACTTTTTTTAAGTGCTGAAGAATAATCTTTTTATGGCAACTTAAAAAAAAAAACACTGAAAGCACATATTCTCAAAATGTATAAATTGTAAGCATATATACACTCACACAGCCCCTTCCTGTTCACGCTGTACACATGACTACATTCCCTGTCATGGGGGACGGACGGCCGAAGGTGGGGCAGGTGAACAGTTTCAGAGACACAGAGACCCTGTCATGGTCATCTCACATCTCCAGCTTGGTTAACAAAGCATAGAAACAACTGTATTTCATAAGTAAACTTAAGAAAGCAAAATTCCTGTGCCTAGTTCTTGTTAACTTTTACAGAGGAGGAAAGCATCCTGACTGGAAACATCACAAAGTGGCATAGGAAGTGCACGACCCAGGCCAGAAGGGGGAGTGCTAATATATCTCCTGCTAAGTTGTTTCTTAAAAGCAGCATAAAGGGAATTATATCTAATTTTTATTATACAACATTGTGTTGTAGATGACAGTAAAATACCCTTGAAAATTGAATGTGCAGTTGTGACATCTTGTGTCCAGCAGGAAAAGTTTAGAAATTAACAAAATTAAACAGAACCGAACTCAGGACAACATTAGACACTTTACATAAACCAGGAGCAGCCATAATCGGCTTGGATGTGGAAAAAGCCTCTGACTCAGTAAACTGCTAATTTCTTTATAAAACACTGCACTAGTTTCAATTTCACAAAACATTCATAGAGACTATTCAAATTCTTTATAATAAACAAGAAGCATAAAAATAAATGGTTTCTTTCAGGCTCCTTTGAGTTGGAGGGTGGCTGTCGACTAGGATGTCCTATCAGCCCCCTATTGTTCACACTCTTTACAGAACCTTGGAGTCAATTGATCAGGCAATTTATTTCGACTTCTTTCAGTTTCCAAGGTTTGAAAGACCAATACAATTTCTTCAAATTTTTACAGCTGAGACATCACACTGAGAAAATATTTAAGAAAGCATACAAAGCTGACCAAGGTCTCAAAATTATTTCTAAACTGTACGAGGGCATGCAATAACTAAGATAAACAATGGCAAATCAACCAACTCACTGAGTTTAACTGGAAAAATATGTAGTAACACAGTATTTTGAAACACCGGCTCTACAGACCAAACCAAGAAGTTGGGTC